TCTATAAATATTGTTACATATATGTATACATATATGTATATATATACATGTACTGGTATATATATATGTATATAGTCATTATATGATAATTATTATACGATATGTGTTACGGAACATCTTTTCCCGCAATGATCCGCGATAGGAGATCTACCAAGATTCTAATATCTCTATGTCATTGTTTATTATGTCGTTAATGATTAACGTGTATATGTGAAACTTTCAAACTGAATAAAAAATAACTAAGCATGGTAATTCGTAGGCAATACTGCCGATACGTTTTCTCTCTTCTCCATACATTACCGCTTCCAACTTCTGCGCTATTTTAAAAAGCCCGATTTTAGGATGGCAATTTGTTTATTGTCAATCGTTCGCGAAAAATGCTATTAACGATATAACAATAACAAAAACAGTTCTGAAAAGTGATTTCAAATTCTCCAAAAATTTTAGGTTCTTTTTACACGTTTAGAAGCTAGTTTGTTTCTTTCGAATTACGAACAATTCAAATGTCCCGCCGCTAATCGACTTGTGGCGCCTCTCTTGGAATGGCAAAACGTTCAAACAGCTAGCCAAAATCGACTGTTAGTAATTTGGCTAACGGTTTGAGCATTTTACCATTACCGAAATTGGCGTTGTACAGACATCGAACGGAGCTTCAGTTTGCCTCCACAAGAGGCGACACAGTAGGCCACATCTGTCCAACGCATGGTCGCCTAAAAACATTAATTATGCCAAAAATTAGGACATAAAAAACTAAACCAAGGGCACAGAACTGTTCTGCGACATTTGCAACAACCCATAGATACTATCTGACGAAATTCGAGACTTTCCACCTCGTTGAATCATCGAAGTGAAGTTTGTAGCTAAAAATTCAGAGAGAGATTACACAACAGATATCACATTCATAATTATAACAAAATATTATTTTACACAAAAGCGTAATTTATTAAGGCGTCTCCTAACAGTGGAACACATCACCTTACACTGCAGAAAACACATCACGAAAAGAAGACAACACAACATAAGAGCTCCTTTAGAAGACATACTGAAGAACAATGAAACAATAAAAAAAAACTTGCTACACATTATTTGAAGCAAACCAAATTATGCAATCAACTGTAAACCTGACTTTGAGTTGCTAACAACCCACTCAGTCGTTGATGCGATTTTAAACACACAGATATAAGAAAATATATCAAAGTCTCACTTGCAAAGTAGAAGTATACAATTTTACAACGTTATTCGCATTTAAACCGTTTACTTCACAGGAGGGTTGGACAAAAATAAATTTTTGACATAGTAAATGGACAAATACACTATAAATATTTTTAGCATTTTATGTAATACAGGTTTGGCAGGTAAACGTTTATTTTCCAAATTCTGTATTACATGAGAAGATAAAAATATTTATATATAATCTATTTACTATTTAAAAAATCTATTTTTCCCCAGCCCTACTTCACAGCCATTAGCTCGATATAATTATTGATTTCGAATCAGTTATAGAATGATCGAAGTTTCTTTCGATTTATAACTGATTGGAAATCAAAAATTACACCGATTCTCCGAGTCTCGCCACGAGAAGATTGCTGTGACTGGAAATCCCAAAGGGAGTCAGAATGAAGACAGAATTCGTTATAGTTCCCTTTCTTCTAACAAATTTTACTTAATAATTAACACCTTAATATATAAGTAACGTCTTAATTGAGACGTACGCCAGGCTTTTAATTCTAAATAAATTAAATGCAACACTCCCCTTCATACTGGAACATTTTGAACGTTTTGAACAGCACCATTCGCTGAAGAAATATTAATTATTTATAAAATTAAAAATTCGCAAATAATTGACCCGTATAATAAAAAAGAGAATAATAACTTTGTGTTTTCAGTAATTTACTTCAACTTTTTTGTGGATTTAATTTTTTTTAACATCAGAAAACAAAAAAAAATTAAAAATATTTTTAAATAACTAACAAACAAACAAACTAACTAACAAACAAACAAACTAACTAACAAACAAACAAACTAACAAACTAACAAACTAACGAACTAACGAACTAACGAACTAACAAACAAACAAAGAAACAAACTAACAATCAAACAAACAAACAAACAAACAAACCAATCAAACACACAAACAAAGAAACAAACTATCAATCAAACAAACAAACGAACAAACAAGCAAACAAACAAACCAATCAAACACACAAACAAAGAAACAAACTATCAATCAAACAAACAAACGAACAAACAAGCAAACAAACAAACCAATAAAACAAACGAGCAAACAAACTAACTAACAAACAAACGAACCAATCAAACAAAAAAACAAACGAACAAACAATCAAACAAACTAACAAACAGAGAATAAAACAAACAAACAAACGAACAACCAATCAAACTAACAAACTAACTAACTAACTAACAAACAAACAAACAAATAAACAAACCAATCGAACAAACAAAGGAACAAACAAACGAACAAACAAACTAACTAACAAACAGACAAACAAACCAATCAAACAAACAAACTTATATATATATCAACAAATAAACAATCCAATCAAACAAACAAACTAACTAACTAACTAACAAACAAACAAACAAACGAACAAACAAACAAACTAACAAACCAATCAAACAAACAAACTAACTAACAAACAAACAAATAAACAATCCAATCAAACAAACAAACTAACTAACAAACATGGAAACAAACTAACAATCACACAAACAAGCGAACAAACAAGCAAACAAACTAACAAACAAACAAACAAAATAACAAACAAATAATAAAATCAAAGAAACAAACAATCCAATCAAACAACTAAACGAAAGAACAAACAAACAAACCAATCAAACCAACATACTAACAAACTAACAAATAAACAATCCAATCAAACAAACTAACTAACTAACAAACATGGAAACAAACTAACAATCAAACAAACAAGCGAACAAACTAGCAAACAAACAAACCAATCAAGCAAACGAACAAACAAACAAACTAATTAACTAACAAACAAACAAAAAAACCAATCAAACAAACAAACGAACAAACAAAGAATCAAAGAAACAAACGAATGAACAAACAAACTAACAAACGAACAATCAAACAAACAAACGAACAAACAAACAAACGAACAAACAAACAAACCAATCAAACAAACAAACCAATCAAACAAACCAATCAAACAAACAAACTAACAAACAAACAAACCAATCAAACAAACTAACAAACAAACCAATCAATCAAACAAACAAACTAAAAAATATTTTTTAGTCATTTATTATTATTTAAAATAATAATAATTAATTAAGATAATAATAATTTATTAAAAATAATAATAATTTATTATTTTTATAAACAAACAATATATTTATATATAAAGACAAATTTGCTTCATATCATTTTCCAAAATTTCGCTGAAAAATATATGATTTTTAACGAGTTCCGTTGTTTTTATATAGACCATATCATTTCTAGTGATAGTGTCAAAAAATGCTGGTATTTTGTGAATGGCAGTGCAATAAATTACCGGACGAATATGTGTTAATTAATTCGTTTAAATTTCCTTATTTGTTTCGGATAAAACTGTAACGTACGGAGTATCTTCCCACGAATTTTTTATATTCCTTTTTGAAGGCATACGACAGGCTGGTGGCAACCAGCCGGGGGTTCATTTGTATATCGCGAGTCAAGTTCCTCCAAGGGGTACGACGACAAACGTTTCTGGAATCGGACCACATAGGAACACCCCTACCACCATTTTTCTAGAGAAAATCTGGCTATATAAAGGCCTAAACGCGACCGGGATTCGGGCTAGTTTCGAGTCATTCGTCGACGTGGAAACTCTAGTGAGATCGAGTCTTAATTCTCCTTCGAACAATCTAGTAGGTAATTAGATATCAAATCAGAAGCCCCCGCCGACTCAGTGCAAAAAGCTGAGAGCGCGATAGAGTCCGCGAACACCTACATACATTTGTAAAAATCCAAAATGCGTAATAAATTAGCACTAAAAGGGTTAAATTCTTCGAAATATACGCGACGAAATCTCCAAGCCTATATGATTTATTGCTACGTTCATGCTAAGATTCGACGCAGCTTCTTTGTCACGAATTCCCGGAAGACAATACAAAATGATCTGTTTCGGTCTGTCGGATAAGTAAAACCGAGGAGCTACAAGATACGTGACCAATCGCAACGATTCGAAGTCAAGTTCTCCGTCGAATCGAGGCAAACACATACATTCGAAACATATCTCAATGTGCATTGAGCATCGTTCGCAAATTCGCTGACAAATGTGGCAGAAAATCCTACAAGGCAAAAAATACAAGTCGAATATCCCGCCGCGTATTTCAAATGGAACGCCCAGGCGTACGGATGCGCGAAAAAAAGTGAGATCGCAAGTTTGGCAAAGCGAGACAAACTACATTGGTATGGTGTGACTCGTTTCATATGAAGTTGGACTGATGTCGTTGCTGACTTGCTCACTCGCTATTTCTTCTCTTTGTCGTTAACTCTGAGGGCAGCACTGTTCAGCTGTGACTCGTCAGCCAATCAGAGCACAGCAATTCGCTGCATTCTCTCAATCGAAGAACCTCGTTTTGCCCCCGAAAATGGTTCTTGAGTTGAGAGATTATTGTATATTTAATTGATATCTATGCACTTCTGCCACTAAGGTTCATTTATCAATGCAGGGATAAAAAACATGAAAATTTTTAAGATATCGTAGATATTTTACTAATTCGTATCAAAATTTAGTCATATATGAAATATGAATAATATGAATTTGAAGAATTTGAAATTGTTAACATTTGAATTTTCCTCCACATGTAAGCATCGTCAACAGAAATTTCATAATATTAAATATTTTAATTTTACTAGCACATGATATAAATTTATGATGTAAAAAATTAAATTAAACATATTTTTTATGTAGTGTACAATACATTTTCTTTATTTGAAGCATGAAACGCTTGCTCTATGCAAGCGTTATGTCAAGGTTATTTCCGTCTACGGAAATGCACTGATTTGACTCACGCATTGGACGTGTTGCTAGTAGACGTTGTTTCCGACCCTTTCTCTGTAGTAAGCGATACAGAATGGTAACTATCTTTTATTTAATATTTATAATTACGTTACTTTAGTATATTGTGCATGAAATAACTTTACTATGATTGATATAATTGAAAACATAAGACGAAGATTATAGCAACTATATACACCCTAATTACTTACGAAATATTTGTGAAAAATTCAACTGTTCAATGATTAGAAGCCATGTGGTTGTCATAATTTGTGTACAGAAAATATAATTTTATTTTATATAGTGATTTACAATTTATAGAAATGTATAATTTGGTATATATAAAACAAGTTGGTGTTTTACGTGTTTATTGTATAAAAGTATTGCGGTATTAACAAACTTAACCTTTTCGCGTGTCACCGACAATATAATACTTGAGTTATTAATAAATTTGCAAAAAGTATGAGTAAGTAAATTACGTCTGTTATTTAAAAAAAAATTATCCAATCATTTAAGACGTAGAAATTTCTTACGAGAATGAATAAATATTAAGCAAGTTCTGGATGACTCCACTTTATATATTACTTATATTTTTCTTATTTTTAATTTTTAGACTTGCAAACGCAGAAACGGTGGACGTGCCAAGCATGGTCGTGGGCATGTAAACCCTGTACGTTGTACCAATTGTGCACGATGTGTACCAAAAGACAAAGCAATCAAGAAGTTTGTTATACGTAACATTGTAGAAGCTGCTGCAGTGAGAGATATAACAGAAGCCAGCTTTTACTCTGCATACCAGCTTCCAAAATTGTATGCGAAGCTACACTACTGTGTTTCATGCGCCATTCACTCTAAAGTGGTTCGTAACAGATCTAAAGCGAATCGTCGCATCAGAACTCCACCAGTCCGTAATTTCCCAAGGGTAACTATCAGAATGCATAAGCTAAAAACTCAATGGATTCAATATTTCGAATTCCTTATCATTTTGTAATAAACATTCAGATGGTTTCATTTAACTTTTTCATTCTCTCTTTTTCAGGATCTTCGTCAAGGACAACAAAACAGGAAATAATTTTACTATGTAAATTTTAAATAAAGATAAAAATTGTAAAATCAGAGCTTTGTTTTTATTTGTATTATACAGTCTACGAGTTACAAGATAAATTATATTATTTTCCTATATAATCTAAAGAAGTCGTTGCTTCCCTCATTTATTACACAACTTGAAATGAACATAGTAAAAAGTACATTATATCATTTTATTACAGATGTATTATCATTTACGATTTACATAATGAAATGTTACATTTCAAGTGTATTTGTAATGTTAGCTACCGCTAACAGAAAGCTAAGTGTTTAATCAAATTTCAAAAATGTGAAGTAAGACTTTGTAGAGAATATTTGCTGACACAATGCACGAAATTGATAAAAATATTTTGCATATAACTATAGCAAGAATTTTGCCATTGTTGCATTTTATGTAAAATTAATATATAATTAACAATAATTGCAAAATAGATTAAGGAAGAAATCATTTATTTGCTTCTTCCATTGCTTTTTTCAATGTTTTCTCAAATATCTTTTTCGAGTCACAAAATCCTTGTTTCGTTTTACCAAACGAATTTGGACCTGCTGAGGTGGGTGTTTCTCGCCCAATATTTCGCATTCTCATTCTAGCTTCAGCTGGCATTTCTTCAGGTTCTTCGTCTTCATCTGCATTGAATACTGATGCTACTGTTGGCCTCTGCACTGGTGTTGCCTTTACAGTGGGTTTCTGAAGGACAACATTGCAAATTGTTTTAGAATATACTTGTGTGTGTGTGTGTGTATACAGAAATTATTTATATTCCAGTTACTCACAGATGTCGATCCTAGTTTTATCTGTATGCCCTTCTTTTGTTCAGCCGCACTCTTTTTCCCAAATCCAAACGTCAGTTTCTGTTTCTTTGCATCGCTTTGATTATAGGAGGTAGCATCACGGTCATCCGATCTAATTGGAGAACGATCCCTTCCTCTGTCATCCCCCCTGGAGTCCTCTGCTCTGTAGACACTTGACCCTGACAACGTCAAACACTGGCAAAGTTCAGATCAAGTTAAACAACATTGTTTTTTTAACCGGAAATATTTAAGCGGCATGCTTAGTAGAAGTTCCGTATCATCCTAGCCATTTGAATTAAAAGTTAAATAAATACAGTATACAGTTGAACAGAGATAACTTTGCATATTGTACATGTACCATGTTCTAACATTGCTCCAAATAATTTGATACATTCTGCGTACTAACACATTAGACAAATTCATTATATAAGGTTAATATTAACTCCGTTATTAGTAGAGACTAATACGGAGCATCCTTTGTCACATGGTTACAACAGGATGTGTGTACCAAAAAAAGGATACATGAGAAATGTAATGGCAAATTTAGGTAATAATGTGCAAATTGAATCTTTGGTTCGACATATAATTGTTTTCCATCTCACTGTTACAGCACGTATAACACGTTTAAAATTAATCTTTTCAACGGTAAAGAGCGTAAGCACGAAATCAATAACGAAAACAAATCAAGGGAAAAAGATTGTACCACTGTAATGAGGTAGAAAGTATGTGTAATTTTACCAAATGCACGTGATACGATAATAAATAAAATGAATAAAACCTTTTCTATATTCGTCCCCAGGATTCCTCTTCGACATTTTTCTGATTTTCTTTGGACGCAATGCGAAATCGACTGAGCTGAAGCAATCCGACGCTTGTAACTGCAGTTTACTTCAGCCTAGTACCCGTATCCTCCATAGGGAACTTTCAGGTACTAAGTGCTTTTCGTACACCTTGTTTCTCCCTATATTATATCACTAATAAATTCAAAATTAATTAACTCGCTCTTCAAAGAAACTAGATTGAACGTTCTTCTTTAAACGATATTTTTACGATTCATTGAAGAAGAATTCTTACCAATATTGTTATCAAAGATAACTTCCATCAAATGACAGAATATGTACGTAGCAGTTTTGAAATATCGCAGGTTAATTTCAATTATTGAAAATATAATCGGGAATAAAATCATTGGTACCAATTGATTTGAACAACTGTGTACATATTTTTTTTATTTAACTTAACAACAAGTTCTCTATTATGATTTCATTACAAAATTTAATAGTTGATACAAGAATCGAATGAAATTATAACAAACAGACAGAATTTCATATTGACGATTTCTAATAGCTGAATCAGTCAGAATTTATTTTGCCTATTCACGAATTTTGACAATAATTTCGGTAGCAGGAAACAAATATGTATCTCGCGTTATATCTGTGTAATCTGATCTTCCTCGTGTATATTGATATAAAGACACGAGATCAGTCGCTGCTCAGTAGCGTCATTTCTCTAAAATTAAGTGAATCGTATCTTTCAGTTCTAACTTACAATAAGGATGATTGATCTACTTGTATAGTACAATAGTACTTGTATGTACCTAATCATGATAAGACATATCGAAATACGTTACGAAATGTTTTCATAATATTTCCACAATTTTACAGTAATATACGGATTACTGAAGAAGTTATTATTTAACAAATTATTAATGAAGACAAGATTTGTGTCATCGACGGACTCCGCGGCTTGAAACAACAATACGATGGTGTCACTGAAGGGAATCTTTTTATTGGTAAGACTATAAATACTTTTATTCGATGTTTATTCATATTTCTGCAAACAGTTGATTAACATTTTAATATGTAAAATCTGTTAAATAATTCATTAGCTTTAATTCGATGTTGATTTATATCTCGACGACCTTTTTATTAATGCATATTAGTCGATGTAATTAAAAAGCGTTGAAATCGTGTGACAATCAAACAACAACAACGATAAAATTTCTAAAGTCGTATGTATCTAATATGTGCTATGTGCTTACGGATGCCGTTCGATAAGATTAAGCGGGATCGTTTATCGTTTCGATATCTAGCTACGACAGAAATTGGCATCATGCTCAAATGATTTCATTAAATAATAAAAGAAGAAAAATAATTCATCGTATTTAATCTAAGTTGAAATCTTTACAGTTTATGTTCGGGTATTCTCAAGAATCAATAATTGGGCATTTAAATAGATGTAAGTGTACGAAGATAATAATTTCTAATCAAATTAACTGGACCGCTGACTTGCCAAATCGATTAACTCCACAGCACAAAGAATGTAGCTCGACATCAAGGAAATTTAAACTGAGATATTAAAAAATTCAAAAAGAGTGGAGGTATCCGATTTGATCTGCCAACGGCTCAATTAATAATAATAAATCTATAAGTACAAAGAAAGAAAGAATATTTAATCCTTACTAAATTAATTAAAATATTAAAATAACTGCAGCTTGTGAGCACAGCACTTTTTGCGAAACTGTTCCACATTATCCAACGGATTTAGTGAACATCGCGTTGGAGAAAAATCCCCACCTCAGATATTTATCCTATAGTGAAGAGGTTCGTAAATTTTCTTAATATTTGTGTTGCACTTAATTTCACATTTAACACGTTCAGTGCGGCGTCAGTTCTTTGGAGCTAACAGAGGACTTTCCGTTTGGGCGGTGTCAGTTCCCAGGGACTGACAGCGAAACTATCGTTTCGACGGCATCGGCGCATGGGACCGGCAGTATCAAGGTTAAAAAATAATGCCTGTCGCCTCAACGGAAAACCCAGCAAAATCGGCTCCGCGCTTAACGTGTTAACAGATCTAACAAATAGACAAATTGTAATTTTAAAAAATTGAGAACGTACCTATAATCATTTCCAGAGTTCGTGTTTATGTTACACTTTCGTATTTCTCAAAACCACGAATATATATATTAAGCAACAGTATATTTACTTATTAATAAAACATTATATCACGTAGAGAATAAAATGGAAACTCTATTAAATTTTGCATAATAATTAAAATAGTACAGCTGATTGCTTGTAATATATGTTGATGTAACTGGTAAATTATAGGACATAGTTCCAACAATTTTTAAGAACGAATTTTTAATTACATTAACTATATATAAAATGTATTAAAATCTGTGTTGTTGTTTAATAGCTTGATCAGTCGACACGCCATGAAGAAGGACCAGAAGAAGAAGCATTGTGTTTGTCTATCGTGAGTTGGTTATACGAAAACAAGACTATCAATTAGTTATTATGTAACAAAGGAGTTATTTATGCAGATTAAGGCAAGGTTTCCGTAACATGCTAGCAAATTTTTTAAGAACTGTCTAAGAATTATAAAAATAGCAAATTGAACATCAAAAAATTAAAATTAAAAATCGTAAAACCAAGTATAGAAAACTGATTTAGGTTGCAAGAATAATCAAAATTATAATGTTTCATGTCATATAACTGCAAGGAACATAATTTTATATATTTTTAATGTTTTCGTGTCAATTGAATTTAAATAATGTTTTTATAATTGTTTAAATTAAACGATTTTCCTTATTCGGTATATCTTCACACATAGCGATTGGTTTCGTACAATCTCTATTTCTCAACTTGTTATCCTTGTCTACTTCTTCTCGAGAGATTTCCATAGTTCTTTCTTTTCAAGATTCTCTCTCGAATCTTATTGCTTTTAGCATAAATGTCGTACCGTATCAGATGTTTTCCTAGTTTTATGGCCGTGTTGAAGTGAAACCATAATAGAGAGTTATTGTAAGAAGGCAGCCGATGTTGTCAACCGACCTAGTATTGCCAATGAATACATCGTCTACTTACGATTTCAGGAAGAAGTTGTGTTTCCTAAATTCGGTCTTACCAAAAACAAGCAATGGAAATACATCGTGAATCACGCGAGCTTGAAACAAAGTGTGCACATCGAAATTTGCTTGTAAGTTTATTATTTACGCGTTATCTTGTAATTGTTCGATTACACTGAAGACAGGGAATTATGAAGTTTTAATGTTTTTCAGAGAAGAAGACAAGCCGTGCCATGTAATCGATGGCTTCGCCGCGGGTTACGTTACCAGTTGCAAGCAAAAATATATCTACCACCAACTTTTTGCGATGGGACCAAATGGCACTATAAACCGGGAATCTTTTCGATTTCCGGCCAGTTGTTGTTGTCGCGTTGAATTTCAAGGTGACAGATTCTTGAAGAGCATTCCTTCTGGAGATTAACCTACGAACGGCGAAACTTTCTGATAAAATGTAACTAGGTTATATTTATCTTATTATTTATCAATTTTTTTCAACATATGTCTTATGTATTCCTTCTAGATATGTTAGTTTTTCTAAAGGCTTCGTCGAAACATGTGAAAATTGATGTTAGTTGTCACAAACTTGACATTCAAATATCAATTTTTCCAGTCTGGGTCCGAATGGACCCTGAATCTGGCGTTCGAATGTTAATGCAAACTTCTGATAATTTTAAATGAAATTAAAACTGAAATTTCGTGCATAATGTAAATAAAAATATATGTTTAAAGAAAAACTTATGATGGAGTATTTTTTTTTTATTAAACTTGAACAATCTTTCTGTTTACACTTTACATTCTTTAACCCGAATATAATATTTCTTTATTTCTTTAGAGGATGTACAATACGTTGATAATTAAAAGAATAATTTGTAAATATTGTATCGAATTAGTGTTTCATTTTTCTGATATATTCTGCAGGTTTTCTATTCGAGGAACGCTGGTTTACTTTGAACAATTGAAAAGTTGCAAATAAGAGTTCGACCATTTCCGCGACAGACTGTATACTTTCAACTTAGTGGAAGCCTAAGGGGACGATTATAGTTTTTGAAATATTTATTTCTAAGGATAGCAAACACCGTTCTAAAGTTGCACCTTTCACATGCCCTCTTATTTTTCTTCGTTTCGTCGCTTTACAACGATTTCTCTCGTTTTAAAGCAGTTTGTTCTTTGGAAGCCTGTGTTGCATTTCCTTTGTGCAACGCAACTTTGAAGTCGACTATGTGACGTGGGGATTCGAAAATAGCAATCAATCGGAGATTACGATACGATAAACTGCAGATTTTATCGCGTACAGTATACATTACAATACAATATTTAAGGCATTGCAAGCATTAAGATATCAGACAAAAAAAGATTCAACCTAGTGAAATCGTTTGATGGAGCCACTGTCTTTGTGAGCAAATTAATAAAAATCTTGTATAAAGATTCACATTATGAAACGTTATCATCTTACTTCTACATTTCTCTCCATTGTGGTAAACGAGCATCCATTGAAAAAAATAAGATGATACGTGGTAAGGAAAATGAATGTCTAGACATCTTCCAAGTTTTTGTACTACAATGCGGAAGACAGTTTCACTATTCGATATGTATTATCAGCCAAAAGTATCAAGTCAAGTTCCACGAGTATAAAATATTGTTAACTGGTGCAATTGAAATGTTGAAAATACATAGAACTACTTTATATGATATTTTACATTTTATATCACTAGATATTATAATATTTGATAACATTAGATATTTTATAATCTATATCACTAGAAATTTTATATTTATTTTATATTTGTATACATATATTATATATTTATATATTATATATTATATATTTATATATTATATATTATATATTATATATTATATATTATATATTATATATTATATATTTATATATTATATATTATAAATTATATATTATATATTATATATTATATATTATATATT